AATGTGGAAACTAGCAAAAATAAAGGAAATTAAGAGAGGGCAAGATGGAGAAATAAGAAATGCTATAATAGAAATGCCACATGGAAAGCTACTCAATCATATTTTTAAATAAAGGTTTAATTACCCAAGTTTGAGGTTTACAAGCCGCGTTTCTCGTCCTAACGCATCTTAGACCTCACAATATTCGACTCAACTCGACCTCTCGTATTCACCTCCACACAACTTTCCCAGCAATAAATTTTGGTGCCCGATTCAATTCAACACAACTTTCAAAAGCTATAAGTAAAAAAGATAGGAAAATGTGGAATTCCTTAATTAAGAAGTGGCCAACACACGTATAAGAGCTGCCACGATTCGTAATACATCCTTCTGAGAAAATCCAGCTCCACGTCTTTACAGATGCCTCAAATGTAGCCTATCCAGCAGCTATGTATGTACGAAATTATGGAATTCAAGGAATCAGAACCTTCTTGATATTCGACAAATCGTGAATCGCGCCAATCAAAGGTACAACACCCGACTGGAGTTATTAGCAATACTCATTGGAGTACGAGCAGTACAATTCGTAATAAATCAACTGCAGTTTGAAAACGTATCGATAACATTATGGTCTGATTCTAAGTGCACTGTATTCAAGGTCATTACCATTTACCTCCAAAATTTATACAACATCGAGTAGAAGAAATAAGGAAATTAAAGACTTTGTTTCGTTATATACTAAGTAAGGATAATCCAGTTGATATCGAAACAAAGGGTGTCTTTCACCAATAAGGCTTAGAAATTATGAATTATGGTGGGAAGGTCCATCATGATTAGAAGAAAAACCACTGGCCACAGTGGGAATACAACTTTGATGGAGGACAGGAAAACGAAGAAAGAAACGAAATTCATATCAGAAAGATTATAACAAAACTCATTACAAATTTCCAACTAATAGATGCAAGTAGCTTTAGCAAGTTATCAAGACTGTGGAAAACGATTGCATGGGTATTAAAATTTATAAATTTTACATCGAAAGCAAGATTCACATGTTAAAGGAGTTATCGATGTTGCAAAATGAACTAAAATTATCAGACCTTATAGTGGCAATGAGATTCCTAATCATACAAGCACAATCTCAAGAAATAACTGAGGAAGTAAAGAAATGGAACTGTATTATGATGAGGATGACCGGTACTGGAAATCCAGAAGCTGTTTGGACAATTCAGGGACATATGAAGGTAATTCACATTTATTTATCTTCCAAGACATAATCCTGTAACTGAAATTCTTATACAGCAACAGATTGAGGAACTGTGTCATGCAGGAATCGCCCATACACCATCAGAAATGAGAAAGGAATTTTGGATACCTAAAGGCAGAACAGAGGTGAAGCGAGTGTTAAATGTAGAAACTATAAAAGATGAAGTGCAATACCATTCTGGTTACCGGTAATACTTAATCTCGCAGAAACACAAATCAAACGCTCACGAACATTCGAGAATATTGGACTTGACTATATGGGATTAAAACTGAAAGAGGTCTAACTAAAAGATGGATAACTCTGTTTACATCTGTACAACAGGAGCTGTACATCAGGAAGTTTTATCAGCTACGAGCTTCATGCGTATATTAGGGAAGTTCAGGCACGACGAGGATACCCTAAATTAGTTCTGAGTGACAAGAGAAACTTCCTAACAATTAAGGAATAACGTGGAAGAGTACCACACCAAAAGCTCTATGGAGTGGAAGAGTGTATGAAAAATTGATTGGCTTAACAAAGAAAGCCATGAGAGGAAGGGGGCGGGTGGCTATTGGTAGAAAATTATTATAGGAGAGAGAATTGATCACACTGATGGTGGAAATAGAAGATATATTAAATACCCGTCCACTAACATTATTTAAATTTTGAAGATTACGTGATCATACGCTCAACTGATTTCATTTCACTTCATGCCTTCTTAATAACTCAGATTTTCTATAATGACGATCAAGAATTTACTCCCCATGAGTACCCATAAAAGATTATTAAATATTGGTCATATACAAATAAGGCTTTAGATACATTTTGAGAAATATGAAAAGGAGAATATCTAGCCAGTTTAAGAGAGCGAACTCAATGAAACACATTTCCCCAAAAATTGTAGAAATAAGAGAGCCTCATGAGAATGAGATTGTACTAGTCAACGAACCAGAAGTTCCCCGTGGTATGTGGAAGTTAGCAAGAATAAAAGAAATTAAAAGAGGGAAGGATGGAGGAATTAGAAACGCTGTAATAGAAATGCGTCATGGGAAATTCTTCAGAAGATCAGTAAAGTCGATAACAATGAGAACCGAACAGTTCAATCATCAAGTTTAGAAGAACCAATACAAGAAACAACAATTTAAGAAGAACCTGTCGCTTTCAGAACGAGAAGTGCTAGAAATTAGCAACAAAATTCAAACTTTTCTCAATGGTTTCAATGTTCCTCAGTCGGGAATGTCGGAAAATCCGAAAATTTGTGATATTAAGTTATTCACATCAATTGTTGTAAATTTTGTTGTGAGGTTATTGGTCTGATTTGATTTGGGAGAACTTTGTTGTTATGCGGCACAGTCGAATCTGTTGGTGAAGGTTTCTTGGTGGAGAGGTTTGTTTTTAGGTTCACGTTGTAGGGTTAATTGTATTTCCCTGAGATGGGAGTTGATCGTTCTATTTGACCACGATCTGATGGATTAGGCTTGGATTCGTTATTTGGGTCTTGGTCTAGAATACTTGTTCCAGACACTGTTGAATTTGATGTGGTGACTACGCTAACTGGTGTAGTTTATTAGATCGAATAGATATTTAGTTGGCGACAATAACTGGAGTTGATTGCGGGCAAAATTACCAGATCTAACAAAATCTACACAATACAAAATGACGGAAATGACAATCTAAACAATGACCGAATACGCGGACTTATATATCCATTCTAGACAGAGTGAAATATACTGTCTTAACTCTTGATAGGCGCTAGAAACACTATATTCTTAAGGTGATGCCCACTGATTGTTTAATATATTAGTTCAAAGATCAAAGTGAAATATGATTGCTTAATAAATAAGCCTAGGATGACAATGTATGTTGGGGAAGGAAGAAACGGTGAGGATAAAGAGAATTTCTTGATTACTTGTTAGCTACATTTGTTCCACATAAGAGATAAGAAATCAAAAAGGAAAAATTGTGAAATTCAGCTTCCTCAGCTTGCTGTAAGAATAAGTGTATATTTTAAGCTGAGGAATATTTTTTGTGAATTTAATTTGATAATTTTATACCGTGGATTAATTTCTGACTTCCGACATTCCCGACTGAAAGAATCACTTTGAGGGGTGAAAGAATAAATATCTTGAGTTGGTTATCTGTGCCGTTTTCCGCCTTCAAATAAACTCCATAATGAATTATATTTGAGTTAGAAACTGTATGACTGAAAGCAACCTGCAAAGGATAAGGAGCAAGATTTATTTTCAGGCCTGTCCATCACGGCCAGGACCCAAAGGGCCAGATGGCAAGGATGGAAATAAGGGACCAAGTGGACCACAAGGACTATCAGGACCTTGGAGTGCAAGGGTATCCAGGAGCAAAAAGTATTCGTGGGCCTCGAGGACAGCAGGGACCGCCAGATCAACAAGGAGTGAAAGGAGATACAGGACCACCAGGGGCAATGAGAGGATAGAAGCAACGAAATTAATGGAAAATATCGAAAAATTTATGGAACAAAGCTTTATTAAAATTTAATCTTATCACCGCCATTATCGTTGTTTTATAATGAATTTATTCCTTTTCTTTCATTGAGCAAAACACTGTTATAGTTAAGTGAAAATTGTGTATTTTGTCGCAATGATAAAAAGGCTATGTCGCTGAAAAGCAAGAAGTACCAAAGAAGAATTAATTTATTTGTTTGGAATTAAAAATTTAGAGAGAAGTAATTCCTTTGTTCTGGATCAAAATGGTTGGATGTAATGTA